TTATACAGCCCTAGTCGTACTTGTCTGCATCAGACTTACACATCCTCCCTAAACACTTCATGTAAAGAGAAGTCTAATGCTTAAACTTCCCTTATTGTACATTCTGTTTAATTTAGAATTTCTTATCTCCTGCTCTGTCAAAGGCTTTCTAGATCCCACAGAATCCTCATGTGTGTGATTAAAGTTCAATTTACAGAGTATGATATAAAAAGTTCTAAATCAACTTAACATCTGATTGAAAATAAAACTATATTTTTCATGTAAGCTGATTGAGTCACAGCCAGGGGAACTGTAGCTAGGGCTGCATGGAAAGAAACAAGAGTGGTTTAACTCCTAAAGCAGGGCTGTGCAACCTGCGGCCCCCCAGATGTTGTTGAACTACAACTCCCATGATTCCCTGGCTATCTGTTTCATTGAAAGAATCATGGGAGTTGTAGTTCAGCAACATCTGGGGGGCCGCAGGTTGGACAGCCCTGTCCTATAGGAAAAATAATTGAGCAGTGAGACTGCAGGGGCATGATTTATACACCAAAACTGCTTCATTAAGATATAGTTGTTGTGATTCCTAAAGTGTGCCTTTAAATTAGAAATTCACTTTGAATTTACTTTGGATTCTAAACCTGACTGTTGCTATTTCTCTTCCTCGTCTCTCTGACGAATAATCAGTGCAAAGAGCAGAACTTTTATTTACAAGGATTCAGTATAGAGGAGCTCTGTTCATGGACAAAGGAAAATACAGCAAAGTAGATTTTTACTTTTAATTTTATATTTCAGATGTCACAAACATATATATTTTTTTAAAACAAACAAACAGGCATACATAAGCCTAATAGTAAAATTACCGGGAATTACAAGTTCCCTTTTACCTACCTGATTCCATTGTATTATTTTTGACTTTTCTAGTAATTATATCAGAATAAGAATTATTTGTCCAATACATAAAAATAAGGCCTTATTGCTTATGCAGCAGTATAGGAAGGAACATAGTCCAGATATTTAAACATACATAGAGACAGGAGGGAGGTTTAGGTTTTGTAAATGAAGAAGGGGAAGAAATATGTTTTATATTCTGTACTGCAAAAAAATTATAAAATATACACTTCCATTGCAAATTAATTTTTCAGTTGAATTGTTCAATCTGCTTGTGCATTCAGTAATATATTACACAGTTCAGATCATCACTGAGGTATTGCAGGTTCAAATTTCATAACATTCTAATGGCCACGAATCTGAGTAACATGACTCTCCAGGGTCGCTTTCAATATCCTTAATATGTGCAATATGGGATGTGTTCATTAATTCTGCTGACAAAAAAGTGTATAGTTAAAGATGGCAGGGCTAATACATAACAGCATTTAGGGTACCATAACGAAAATATTACTATTTTAATCCCTAGTAGTGCTCTACCTGATTTCGAAATAATGTCCTTAAAGAGTAATAATGTCCAACATTAACCCCTTAAGGACCAAACGTCTGGAATAAAAGGGAATCATGACATGTCACACGTCATGTGTCCTTAAGGGGTTAAAGGGACAGTATAGTCACCAACTTTAGCTTAATGCTATGGTGTATAAATCATGCCCCTGAAGTTTCACTGCTAAATCCATTGCCATTTAGGAGTTAAATTACTTTTGTTTTTGCATATACAGTACTAACCATACCTCCCCTGGCTGTGACACAGTCAGCATGAAAACAAAATGGTTTCATTTTCAATCATATGTAATTTACTTTTAAGTTTTTATCTCCTGCTCTGTAAATTGAACTGTAATTATGTACAGGAGCCTCTTGTGGGGTCTAGCAGGTTATTGACAGATCAGTAGATAAGAAATTCTAAATTGAACAGAATATTCAAGAAAAGAAGTGTAAACACTAGATGACTCTTCACAGGAAGTGTTTAGAAAGGCTATGCAAGTCACATGCAGGGAGGTGTGACTATGGCTTTATAAACAAAGTGATTTAATTCCTAAATGGCAGAGAATTGCGCGTTGAAACTGTGGGGTCATGATCTACCAAAACTGCTTCATTAAGCTAAAGTTGTTTGGGTGACTATAGTGTCCCTTTAACCCCTTAAGGACCAAACTTCTGGAATAAAAGGGAATCATGACATGTCACACATGTCATGTGTCCTTAAGGGGTTAATCATAACAATAACCTCTTCACTTATTCGTGGATTGATCGGAGATACATTTTGTCATCAAGGTACATATAAAGTTGTTTAAATGACAGCATTCAATATCAGTTGTTTAATTCAGTTTTATGCTATTTAAAATGTATTTTAACCAGCCGTTTAAAACTCAGTTTGCTGGTCCTTCGTGTAAACTTTAATAAAGGTTTATTAATATGGGTACTGTACTTTGTAAAGGCTGTTGGCCTCCAGTTATTGTTTGCCGCAAATTCTTGTATTTGTTTCTTCTCTTACAATTATAATATATTTTACCAAGTACTTGTGAGATACTTGTGATAGAAGCATTTGCCAGACCATACTCTAAGACACTATAACACTACTGAAGTGGTTTATAAGAGAGGTGTACTGGAGATACCTCAAGAATAATTTATAATGTGTATATGTGTGTGTGTGTGTTTTCTCATACACACATATATTCTGCAGTTTGTCTTGTCCTGCATGCTAAAGCTAGTTGCTCCCTGCCCTTCTCAACATTGGTTTTGTTAACTTAAATGTTATTCAACATCCTGCTTATCTCTAAAGATTTTCTCTGTTATTTCTTCTCCCCCCCCCCTTATTTTATTGATACCCACCCGAATGTCTTGCTTGACCAATCCTCACCTCCTCTGTGCATCTCCATTCCATAGCTTTTATTGCAGTCCTGTTTTGACCCTATCATCTCTGTCTTCCACAGTCTGAGTTTTAAAAGACCACTTCTAGCAAACCTGAACAGTGCTCAGATTCCCACCCACCCCTCCCCTCACCACCCCACCCCAAGTTCCTTACTACATTTATAGATAGAATCCCACACACAACTTTAGTTAATTCCAAATAGCAGCTGCAAAAACTACCCATAATAAGCACAATCCACCTTCTTAACCCCTAACACTCACTCCCTCTCCTCCCTTATGCTCATTCTCCTTCCCTCTAATTACCTACCTATCAGAGCAATGCTCTATATTCTCCTCCTCTCCTTCTCTCTCATCTTCCTAAGGATCAAAATATCCCCTTCCACCCACTTCCCTCAACAAAACACTAACATTTACATTAATCCTTCTCTGCTACACTCCCCCCTTCTCTCATCTCAAGCCCTGCACTCATTTCTCTATTCTCTCTCTCCTGCCCTAACCCAATCTCACCCTAGTCGCCGCCCATATAAAACCCACTCACACCTCCTGTCTCTATCTCTCCTACTTCTTCTGGCAGCTGGTGACGTCTCTACCACCCCAGGGCCCCTCACCTCATCTGCTCACACTAAAATAACCAGAAACCATGCAAACCTCCTCCAAATACCCTGCAGTCTATCCTCCTCTACCAAAATTCAGTGTGCACTCTGGAATGCTCACTCCATTTGTAGTAATATCAAATCTACAGCAATACATGACCTCCTCATCTCTAACTCTCTCACAATACTGGCACTCACTGAGACCTGGCTATCTCCATCCGATACCGCTACTCCTGCTTCTTTATGTTTCGGTGGTCTACAGTTCTCCCATACTCCTAGACTTGACTGTAAAGGAGGTGGTGTAGGCATCCTTCTCTCCCCTCAATGTACCTTTCAACCTATCCTCCCTGCCCCTGCCCTATCCTTTACTTCCTTTGAAGTTCACACTGTACGCCTTTTTAAGCCCACTCCTTTAAGAATTGCCATCATCTATCGCCCCCCCCGGTCACCCTAAACTATTCATTGAACACTTTTCCTCCTGGTTACCCCACTTTCTTTCCTCTAGCACTCCCTCTCTCATACTTGGGGACTTCAATATCCCTATCAACAAGCTCAATTGCCCTGATGCCTCTCGTCTGCTCTCTGTAACCTCCTCCTTTGGACTCACACAGATTTCTTCCTCAGCAACTCACACTGCAGGAAACACTCTTGACCTCATCTTCACCAATCTCTGTACTACCTCTGATCTCGCCACTGCTCCATTTCCTTTGTCTGACCACCATCTGCTAACATTTAACATCTGCATACCCCATACCAAAATCTCACCACCATCCACTCTCCAACCTCGCAGAAACCTCAACTCCCTCGATCTCCAGCACTTCTCCACTAAACTCCAAACACTCCTTTTACCCATCTCAAATCACAACTGCCCTAACTCTGCAGCCTCACTCTACAACTCCACTCTCTCCTCTCAACTTGACATCATGGCACCTCCTACAGTTAAACGCAGCAAGCGCCCCCAACTACAACCCTGGCACACCAAGCTGACCCGTTACCTCTAAAAATGTTCCAGAACTGCTGAACGCTGCTGGAGAAAGTCTCACTTTGCATCTGACTTTGTCCACTACAAATTTATGCTGCGCTCCTACAGCATGGCTCTTTCCTCTGCAAAAGTAAGCTCCTTCAACACCCTCATAAGCACACTGTCCCACCAACCCAAACACCTGTTTCACACTTTTGATGCACTTCTTCGCCCTGTGACTCCCCCTCCTTCCACCACCTTGTCCGCCACAAACTTTGCATCTCATTTCACCGAGAAGATCTCTACAATCAGGAAAGAGATCTCTACTCTTTCTCCAACCAGTATCAATACATCACCCAACCCCACTCCCCCTGTCATCCTAAGCTCATTTGCACCTGCTACAGCACAAGAGGTTTCTGCTCTGCTCCTGTCCTCCCGCCCCACCACCTGCTCCCTCGATGCTATTCCCTCGCATCTCATCCGCACTTTGTCTCCCTCTCTTGCTCTTCCTCTCGCTAACATTTTCAATCTCTCCCTTTCCTCTGGCACATTTCCCTCTGCCTTCAAACATGCAACCGTAACCTCAATTCTGAAAAAGCCCAACCTCGATGCCAACTCCCCATCCAACTACCGCCCTATCTCGCTACTGCCATTTGCCTCCAAGATCCTCGAGAGAGAGTTGTCTACGCCAGATTGACAGACTTTCTTGAATCCAACTCTCTGCTTGACCCCCTTCAGTCTGGATTCCGCGCTGGTCACTCTGTCGAAACTGCTGTGACCAAAGTATCCAACGATTTAATTGCTGCTAAATCTCGCGGCCAATACTCTATCCTAATCCTCCTTGATCTTTCTGCCGCTTTTGACACTGTTGATCATCAACAGCTTCTTCACATTCTCCGTAACTTTGGTCTACGGGATTCTGCTCTCTCCTGGTGCTCCTCCTACTTCTCCCAGCGCTCCTTCAGTGTTTCTTTCTCTGGCTCTGCCTCTTCTCCCCAACCCCTCCCTGTCGGCGTCCCCCAAGGTTCTGTCCTCGGCCCCCTACTGTTCTCTATCTATACTGCCTCCCTTGGTAAACTTATCAGCTCTTTTGGCGTCCAATACCATTTATATGCAGATGACACGCAAATCTACCTGTCCTCCCCTGATCTCTCTCCGCCCACCTTGACTCGTGTTTCTGACTGCCTCTCTGCTATTTCCAACTGGATGGCTACTCACTTCCTTAAACTCAACCTGTCCAAAACAGAACTTCTAGTTTTTTCCTCCCTCAAGTGCTGCTACTCCTGTGTCTGTCGCCATCCAAGTCAACGGCGCTACTATCACCTCTACCTCCCAGGCTCGCTGCCTAGGAGTTCTTTTTGATTCTGATCTCTCTTTTACTCCCCATGTTCAATCGATAGCCAAATCCTGTCACTTCCAACTCAAGAACATAGCGCGCATCCGCCCATATCTAACGCCGGACGCGGCTAAGGTACAGGTTCATGCTGTTGTTCTCTCTCGCCTTGACTATTGCAATCCCCTTCTCACCGGTCTTACATGTTCCCAGCTTGCACCGCTGCAATCTATAATGAATACGGCTGCGAGGCTTATTTTCCTGTCCGGTCGCACCTCCCACGCCTCCACGCTCTGTCAGTCCCTGCATTGGCTCCCAGTTAGATATAGGGCCCAATTCAAAATTCTGGCGCTTGCTTACAAATCCCTACATAATGCTGCTCCAACATACCTATCTTCCCTCATACACAAGTATGTCCCGACGAGACCCCTGCGCTCAGCCCAAGATCTACTCCTATCCTCTGCCCGCATCCCCACCTCTGATGCTCGCCTTCAAGACTTCTCCAGGGCTGCACCTTTTCTGTGGAACTCCCTTCCCTCCTCAATCAGACTTTCACCCAGCCTCCATTCCTTCAAAAAAATCTTTGAAAACTCACTTCTTTATTAAAGCGTATCAATTAAACTGTCAGCAGGTTTCTCATCCCCCACCCCATGACTCCGTTCCTTCACCTGTCAAAAATGACCTACCAAGCACTCAATAAACCCTTCTGTAACAAACTATTTAATTTCCCTACTTTAACCCTTTGTGTCACTATACCCCACTCCCTCTAGCATGTAAGCTCATCGAGCAGGGCCCTCAACCCCCTCTGTTCCTGTACGTCAGTGGTCTGATCTCAATTATGTGTCTGTTAGTCTACCCATTGTACAGCGCTACGGAATTTGTTGGCGCTATATAAATAATAAAATAATAATAATAATAATAATATCATGCATTTATTGATTACTGCATTGATGCAGATCTAAGTGCTAAGGATACAAGTACAAGATAAGAATTGTTAAAGGAAACCTGAAATTTTGAATTATTTGAAATAAAAAATCGCATGCGTTGTATTGATTATGTATAATGTTTTGTAATGGACACATTTAAGTAAATACCCTTTTTTTGTGGCTTCTCCTGGTGTAGCCACGATTCATGGGGGTAGGCAACTTAAAGTTCTCTTAAACACAGTTTACCTTATCCAAAACTGCACAGATAATCAACAGTCATTGTGCATTCTTGAATCTCAAAAATCTCTAGGACTCTATCAGCCATTGAAATTGTACATTGTTTTAGCAGATTAAGTGGTGCTTTTGGTCAAGGAAGGATGCCCTCCATAGAGCAAAGGTAAGCTTGGAATGCACTAAAAAAGTCATGATATGTATTTATTCCAAAGTAATACAAAAGGCTATATTATGCGTAATACAATAATACATAACAATACAAGCCTACACAGACAACCACAGGAAGAGGAAATGATGCCACGTCAATGACAAGGCATCTTTTTGCATCTACATGATTCACAAGAGGTTTGTTGGAGAATTCTGCATTCTAAAATATTGAGGTTTGAGAGGAAGGCAGCAATTTTTTTTGACCCATCCAAAAAAACACCTGCACAGGCCATGTAGGAAAGGGACATTAAGTGAGGTCTTTTTTTCTGGTGGTCAGCGTTGGATGAAGAATTGGCAGAGTTTCATGAAAGTTCCGCCATATTTTCCCAGATATGACTATAGACGTCTGTGCTGGCTCACCAAGTGGAACTTCTGCTGAGTATCGAACCTTTTCATTTACGGTGCATGGATGGGAGTGTTTGGCTAATTTGTCATTGGGCAGGCAATCAATTTGTGTTGAGAGGAGATTGGGGACAGTTTTTATGAACTTCTTCCTTTTTTTCCAACAAAGCTTTGTGTATTGGAAAAAAACAAGAGGCCGAGTTAAACAAATCATCGATTACTTCCAGTGTTGTAGCACACGCTCGATTTTACCAATATAAACATGCTTACGTTCTATTCAATAGATTGTTTAAAGCCGCCAGGGCTGTAGAATAGAATGATATAGTAATAGTATTACACAACGGAGTTTATATTCAAAACCTCAGCATGTGTTTTAACTTAGAAGTAAAATTCTTAACATCTTCCCTCCCAACAACGTGTATGTGTGTTTACTTACATTGCAAACATTTAGCCCAGGAAGCCCTATTATTCACATTGCTTTAATTATGTTTTTTTTTTTTACTGTGCCATTGCCCTATTCTGTTTGTTTACACCTCTGCAGAGGGACGGTAAGTGTCACCCACTTCCTTTACTTCGCCCAAACTAAACAGCGACTTTTGTAGGTCAAACTTTATGGCTGCAATTTACAAGGGAGGGGGATATGATATTTTTACATTCTGGTGCATTTTTTAAAAAGCTATATTTCCGTCAAGTTCCTTACAAATGCCAGTACGTTTATTTGATAAATTATGAGCCTTATGAGATTCCTGTTGGGTTGAGCACCCCAATCATCTATGATAGGTGACCCATAGGAGGTGACCAAAGGAAAGAATACATTTGAATACTTTACTTTGTTTATACAAAAGAAAACACATTGCTTGGGTCAATGCAAAGCCCACAAACCTTTAATTTTAAGAGTCTACACTAGAAAATTCACTGCAAGAGATATTAAGATAAAGCTTAGAGCTTTTAAAGTAATTAAAAACACATTTGTATCGAAATCTGTAATGTTCTTTTATTTATATCCATCTACTTTTAATTTGATAAACGATAACGTGAGATTTTTTTTTCTTACCTGCATATTCTATTTTTCTCTTTTCCAGCTCGGCTTCAATCTGGTCTAAAACCATGGCTAATTCAATCAGAATTTTCTTCAGGTAATTCACATTATCATGTTCTAAGATCTTTGCCTTAAAAAACAAAACAAAAAGAAACAACAAAAGTCATTTTTTAAAGGGATTTATAGGGACACTAGAGGTACCAAGACCACTTCATATAAACAAAGTGGTCTGTGTGCAATTCCCTTGTCATTTAAGATACGGCAATGTGTCCATTGCAGGGCTACACACAAATCTAGTCATTACAACCACTAGAGGCGCTTTCCCTGTGTGAAACAAGTCAGACTCAGTTTTTACACATTACTTTATCTGAAAGCTTAGAGAGCTTTTGTTTGGAGAATTGTGGTGCTTGCTGCGCACGTGCTTCTCATCCCCGATGCTTCTCTTTGAAGACAAAGAACGCACCGCAGAACTTGATGATTGCGTTTAACCACTGCATTTCCTGAGATCTGGAGAAGGGATTTTATTTGTAAATAAGGCAACCAGATCCTTACCATGAGTTTTTTTTGTTTGGAAAGATAAGGCTCTGTTAGTTGAGGTTCTTCGTGATCAAGTTTGAGGAGTTCAGTGCTGGCATTCTCCAGATGTCCTGAAGTGCAAACGATGAAGAAGAAAATACGATTTTTATTTGACTTAACTGAAAAGCAACATAATTTTCTATGCCATGCATTTTATTTATTTTTTTATGCAACATTGTTTTTTGTCAGGGTAAAGGTCGCATTGTCGACGTGATAAATGTTTGTACAATATTTAAAATCCTATACAAATTATTAGTTATCAAACAAAAATGAAGACAGTGGTGTCTTACGCCTATAAATTAAACCAGACATTTTCGATTGGTATATAAAATACAGACAGAAAAAAATGTCATATAACATTACAGTGAAATGGGTTCAGAAAGTTTATATATTCTTAAAAAAAAAAAAATATATATATGATTATCCTTTTCTCTGTATCTAGTCAAAATTTAGTAAAAACAATTTGGCCTTACTTAAACTCGTACCCTACCCTATGTTTCAATTCCAGCTTCAAAAAAGGGACAAAGAAAGATAGATAAGACAGACAGACTATGCGAATTCTTGAAATCTTGGGTACTGCATATCTTCACTTATTACAGTACTGAAGGACAATCGGCCCATTGACTTCTAGTTAGAACTTTGGTGGACCTGCTACTGATACCTGGCAAATGGACTTTATAAGGTCATCTTTCCCCACTTCCTGACATAGCAAAAGGCAGCCAGATAACATGGCCACTTACGGCGGATCTCTGCAGTGGCGTACTTTGGGATCATGGAATCCACTGTAAGTTCCGGGTGTAGAATACATCCATGTGTGTAGGCATCCATTGGTAGATTCTCTAAGATTTCTCTGTACTGGAGGACTCGGGTGTGGAGAAGACTCCCGGCTTCAGGTATCAACTGAGGAATAAGTTCTAGAATTGAAAAACAAAGGCGAACATATTCAATATATTCTACTCATTAATGAAAAGATCTGCTGGCCTAGGAGGAGAAAGATAAGGTTTATTTACTAAATTCCAAGCGAAAATGTGAATTAAAATGTGTATGAGAAATTTCAGGCCAAATTTTAAAAAAATAATCTTTTTTTTTTCCTGCTTACAATTTGCCATTTGGATTTCAAAAATTTACAATTTAGAGTTTAAGGAATGAACCCGAATTTGTTCATTAAAAATATTAATACAAAAAGATAAGTCCTGCGCTCATTCCCATCACTACTGGGCCTGCAGCAATGACTACAGTACATAACAGCCCCAATATATAGTAAAAACCAAAGAAAAGAAAAAGTTACCTGCGCTCTCTCCTTAATCCCTGTGTATATTTAGACAAATGGAGGTCATTTAGTTGCTCCAATGGCCATTGGAGGGAATGCCCGTCTGCCAACGTCAAGGCAGACCCCCCTAAATCGGGTCCTACACTGACCCTTCAGCCTGCTTCCTTGAGCTTCTGGCAAAGATATCTCTAATGAGACAGAGAGGGGTATTTTTTATGTCTTGAAAATCCTTGGAGTGCCGGTACTTTTTGTTATTTTATACTATTGAGCTACCAGAGCACCAGGTCATTTTTTGATTATTGTTAGGTTGGAGTGCAGGAGCTTACTACATATATATATATATATATATATATATATATATATATATATATTTGTATCTTCTTTCCTCCTACAGAAAAAGAAAATGTTAAAAAAACATACACTGCTACAATATGGCATAGATTTATTTTTTTTTTGCATTAACTAAGCGCTTTACATTAATCACTGTTAAAC